GGAAACAACACACGCACCAAGACTGGAAACACAGGTCTCTACTCGTGCAGCCGGGAACGGTCCTAGACCAGGTCGGTGAGACTCAACTGGTGCAGCAGTGCGCTGGCGAAGACGCGAGGGCCAGTGCGGTGTAATAGCATGAGGACCAAAACGCTCACGGTGGAGGTCGTCGAGGCGACGGTAGCAGCGGGACGCAGAGTGGTCAGGACTCCAGCAGGTGGTGCCAGCACCCGGGCCAGTCAGGATCCGGTACCCGCAGGGACCGACGTCGCGCCCACTACTGGCTGAGCCGCTGCTGCGGTCGGTACTCCTAGGACCCTCAGGTCCCCACTGCCGGGAGTGCTGTGGCTGCTGTCGCTGTGGCTGACCGTGCTGCTGCTGCAGAACTCTAGCACACGCCATGGTAGGCGCTAGAGACAGCCGAGCGAGGTGGGGAGCGGCTGCTAGCTACAGCCTATGCTGCTGCTGAGTCTGGTGGGGGCGGCCTATGCTGCTGCTGGTGCTGCTGGGGGCAGCCAATGCTGCTGCTGGTTCTGCTGGGGGCAGCTTATGCTGCTGCTGGTTCTGGCGTTGGGGAACGGTTTTGGGCGGTTCTGGGTGGTTTTGGACGGTCCTGGGCGGTCCTGGGCGGTTTTGGGCGGTTCTGGGCGGTCCTGGACGGTACAGGGTCGTTCTGGACGGTTCTGGACGGTCCTGGGCGGTCCTGGGCGGTTCTGGGCGGTCTTGGACTGTCCTGGGCGGTTTTGGGCGGTCCTGGACGGTCCTGGGCGGTTCTAGACGGTTCTGGACGGTCCTGGGCGGTCCTGGGCGGTTCTGGGCGGTCCTGGACTGTCCTGGGCGGGTCTGGACGGTTTTGAACGGTCTTGGGCGGTTCTGGACGGTTTTGGATGGTCCTGGGCGGTTCTGGACGGTCCTGGGCGGTTCTGGACGGTTCTGGACGGTCCTGGGCGGTTCGGACGTTCCTGGGCGGTTCTGGAGGGCTGGTGGCAGGCGAAGCTGGCGGACTGCAGGGCGTACGGGGAGGGGACGCGACGGGCCTGGCGGACAGGGCTGGGGGACGGGGCTGGCGGACTGATACGCGACGGGGCTGGCGTACGGGGGCGCGACGGGGCTGGCATACGTAGCTGGCGGATTGCAGGGCGGCGGGGAGGGGACGCGACGAATAGGGGAAGGGGAGGCGACGAAGAGGGGACGCGACGGGTAGGGGAAGGGGAGGCGACGAAGAGGGGACGCGACGGGTAGGGGAAGGGGAGGCGACGAAGAGGGGACGCGACGGGGAGGCGACGGGGAAGGGGCGCGACGGGGAGGCGACGGGGAAGGGACGCGACGGGGAGGCCTGCGGGGCGACGGGCTACGGGGGGACGCGCGCGATTCGGGGGGCCGCGGGGGCCTTTCTAGGTCGCGACGTGGGGGGACCCGCGGGGGTCCTTCTTAGGTCATGATTCGGGGGCCCGCGGGGGCCTTTCTAGGTCGCGACGTGGGGGGGACCCGCGGGGGTCCTTCTTAGGTCGCGATTCGGGGGCCCGCGGGGGCCTTCCTAGGTCGCGACGTGGGGGGATTCGCGGGGGACCTTCTAGATCGCGATTCGGGGGGCCCGCGGGGGCCTTCCTAGGTCGCGACGAGGGGGACCCGCGGGGGTCCTTCTAACACGCGATTCGGGGGCCCGCGGGGGCCTTCCTAGGACGTGACGTGGGGGGGGCGCCCGCGGGGGTCTCTCTCTAGCGCACGATTCGACCGGGGGGGGGGGGGGCTGGCGCTAAGGGGTGACGGGGCACTACGGGTAACGCGTTACTAACGGACGAGCGCGGGGCGGTGGGCCCATGGGAATCGAACTGCTCTATACCATGTCAACGAGGTAACGGAATAATGAATGACTAGAAATGACAAGGACAAGGAAGATATAGCAAACCCTGATCAACCCTAGCCAACCCTAAACATAAGTGTACACCACCTAGACTAGCAAATACAAACCATAACAATTATAGTTTGACAAGATAAGTTCGTCATCGTGTACTTAGACGACATACTGATCTACAGCCCAAACTAGGCACAGCACCTACAGGACATCGAAGCAGCTTTTAAAATACTAAGTGAGAGCAGACTACTGACCAAGGCCTCTAAGAGTGAGTTTCTACAGGACAGACTGGAGTTTTGGGGACACATCATTTCAGCCGACGGAGTGGAAATAGACCCGAAGAGATTCGCGACGATTCAAGCATGGCACGCACCGACAAATCTGACAGAGCTGCAGAGTTTTTTGGGGTTTGTCAACTACGTGCGCCGGTTCGTCCTCGACATGGCGAAGCTGACCGCCCCATTGACTGACCTGCTGAGGAAAGGGGTTGAGTACACGTGGGGGGAGAAAGAGCAAGCTGCCTTTTCGGCCCTCAAGAAAATTTTGTGCTCGCCGCCCGTACTGCACATCGATGGCCCACACCGCCCGTTCGAACTGGTCACCGACGCAAGCAACATCGCCGTGGGAGCAGTACTGTTGCAGGACTTCGAGAACGGCCTTCAGCCAATCGCGTACGAGTTCCGCAAGCTTCACCCGCCCGAACGCAACTACCCGATACACGACCGCGAGATGCTAGCGATCGTGCACGCGTTCAAAGTGTGGGGATGCTATTTCACCAGAGCAAACGTGACAGTACGGACAGATCGCAGATCACTACAGTACCTCCGCGCCCAACCGAATCTCAATCCGTGACATATCCGCTGGTTGGACTACTTGGAGTCCAACTTCCACTACACCGTCACGTACAAAAAAGGGCCTTAGAACATCGCCTACGCACTCACCTGCCCCACCGCCCAACTTCACGCCATCCTACTCGCCCAAACCAACCCACGGTTAACAGGCCTATTAACCCACGGATATCGATCGACCCATTTTTCACGACCGGAAATTCACAGCAACAGGCAGAAGCAAAAGGAGTCTATTATGTAAAAACAGGCACCAATCGCATATGAGGACCCGCGTACTCACTACTCAGGGAACTGCTACTGCAGGAGGCACACGACGGGGTTACCTCGGGTCACTTCGGGGTAGAAAAGGCGCGACAGCAACTGCAGCGGTATTACTACTGGCCGGAGCTATTGACCGACGTACAGCACCACGTGGGCTCGTGTCCTACGTGTCAGGTGATGAAAAGCTCGCGACAAATAAAGGCGAGTCAGTTGCAGCCAATTCCACCGCCTGAGCGCGCCTGGCAGCAGGTTGGATTTTGTCACGGGGTTACCTTCGAACCCTGGGGGTAACGACGCGGTTATGGTCGTCGTTGACAGACTGACGAAAATGGCTCACTTCGCTGCGTGTAGGAAATCGATCTCAGACGAAGAAACCGCTCGCCTGTTCATCGCAACCGTCGTTCGACTGCACGGGATACCAGCCACGATAATCAGCCGACACGAAGTTTACCAGCAACTTATGGAAGAACCTTTGGGAGCAGTTCGGGACCAGGCTACAGTTCAGCTCGTCGTACCACCCCGAGATTGATGGTCAAAGGAGGGAACGAATCAAACCTTGGAGCAGCTGATTCGTGCCACGTGCGACGACCCGACAACATGGGAGCAGCAGCTGCCGCTGATCGAGTTCGCCTACAACAACGCCACATCAGCAACGACGCAGCAGTCCCCGTTTTACCTGAACTACGGGCAAAATCCAACAGTGCCCATGACGCCGAGTCCGGACAACCCAACGCCACGCGCATAGAAGTTTGTCGAGATCCTGCAAGCTGCCCGCACCAGAGGCGTAGAAGCGATTAAAAAAGGCAAATCTTATCACCATATGCACGCGAATTTGCTCTGCACCGGATGGAAACGCTGCACCCGAGGTTTTTTCCCCAGCCTGTTGCACCCACGTTACAAGCGCGTCGCGTGGTTATGAACCAATAGTAACGAACAGACCGAAGTCAAACTGAAGAGACTGAAGTCAAAATGTCAACGGATAAGGTTACAGATCCTTTACATAAGCACCTGCGAATCCTTTTTAGCCAGCTGCGAATTGACGAAACTTAAGCGAAATGCACGTTACAGCTTATAAGCCCCCTTCACAAGGCAACCGGGAGTGGCTCAAACAGGCATCATGTGTAACAAGGCCGAAGATTCGTTTTCCGAGTGAACCTCCCACACTGCAAGTCGCAGCAGTACGGTTCTGCTACTAGTAGGTTGATAACTTGGTAAGGTGATATTTTATAGGGGTGTTTGTTCCGGGTTTTCAGGAGGCATTTCGGACGGCGTAAGGCAGGTCTAGACCGCGTAGCCTGAGCGACTCGCCGACCTGTGAACCATTTAACGCCAACGACGTAGAGTGAGCAAGTAAGTAAGCTCGGAACCATAAAGATTGTGACGACACCGAGCGAGCAGCGAGGGTTGCGCAGGGTGGAGAGTGTAAGAGTGGCCGGAATGCCGCGTGGCGTTGAGTTTAGGAGCTGAGCGCGTTGGTGTTGCGGGAGAGAGGAGCAGGAGCTTACGAACCGCGAGCGAGTGAGGGTGGCTAGCGGCGGAGCGGAGATAGGGAGTGAGGAAGTGAGTGAGAGACCGAATGAGTGCGGGAGTGAGGGAGTTAGTGAGGAAGCTCTTGACGGAGCGCTCCAGAAAAATCAAAGCGACTGTTAGTGAGTGATGGAGAGACGGAATATGCTACGGTAGTAGGCTGAGGCGACAGGGAGGGCGGTAGTACCTGAGGCTGTCGTCTCGACTCGCGAGGACCATCGGGAGGCGAGGGCTAGTTCCTCCAGTCGGCGCGCGCGCGACTCGTGACGGACGCAACGTCTAGAATACGGCGACTGAATGACCTTTGAGGCTTCTCGAATTTCAATTGTGCACACTGCCACTACACAGCAACGCATCAGTTACCGTAGAACACCCAACCCAACCACACACGCGTGTGTATCCATTTGGATCCACTCCTCACAATTCTGATTCCACCCATCCCTTGTTTTTGAAAAACCCATAGCGGCGAGTTGGCAGGCCCTGCGCAACGTCGGACGTAGTTCTTGGCGATGTCGAATTTCTCGGCGGCGCTGCGACTAACGGATCTGAACGACTTCATCGCACCGTCGCAGGCATGCGTCGTCACCGCACAGGGGAAGCGCGTGGGTGGGGGAGAGGTGAGACGGGAGGGGCGAAGTGGCCGGCTTGGTGATTGATCGATGGATTCATTGGCGCATGGGTGAATCGGCGCAAGGGTGCATCGTCGCATGGGTGCATCATGGATGCACGTCTTATCCCCATCTCTCGTCCCGTACGTCACCTCTCCCGTCCTTCTCACGTCTTTCTCCCTCCCCTTCGTCCCCCCCGGACCCCCTATGCGCGGGCGCGCTGCAGGGTGTGGGCGCAGCGGGGGAGGTGCAGCTGCGGGGAACGGGCGGAGGGGGATTTGAGCAGGCGAGACAAGGGCGCGAGGGCGAGGCAGTGAAGGTGACTCTGCACGACTGCCTCGCATGCAGGTGTGGCGCCGCTGCTGCTTGTAGCTTCACGGTGCTTACACAGCCTTAGCGCTCGTCAGCTTGCCACCCTTGTGCTGCTCGCTCCCCTACTGTAGGCTATAGTGGGGTAGCACATATGGGGTACAGTTTTCTAGGGTTTGCTTTTGTACCCAACTTTCCCTTAGTCAATCCATTCCTCGTTATTTAACAAAGCTAGTCCAAATAGTAGACTTAGTAAGGTCCTTCATAGACAGCCATGGCTAGGTAAGAGCTAAAAGCGCTGGTGGGCGAGAGCAGTACGTGCTGGGTAGTTTGTCGAGGAGTATTATGTTGGATGACCTATGATTTTTTTCTAGGCTCAACAATGTCCCCGGCATCGCGTCCGACTACCTATTTGCATCTGCGAGCCCGAGCGCCCGCCCCCGCGGCACGCGCCCGTCGCCCGCCCGCCCGCCTTACCGCCGGCCCGCCCACCCACGTGGCGCCCGTCCACCGCCCGCCCGTGGTGTGCGCGTGCGGGCCCGCCGCCCACCCGCCCCCGCGGCGTGCGGCCTCGTCCGCCCTCGCCCGCCCCCGCGGCATGCGCCCGCTGCCCACCCGCCCTCCTGCACGGCATGCGACCGCCGTCCACCTTGCCGACTCGTTACATTCTTTTCAAATCCAATCTCTTTTGCTCTTCCCATTGCTGGAAACCCTCCTATCTCTAGCGTGCAACTGTAGCCCATACGTCACGCTCCCGTGCGGCAGCCCTTGTAATGAACGAAAGATTCCCGGGTGCTGTCCTCATGATTGCCCACTCTAGCGTGCAACTGTAGTCCCTACGTCACGCTCCCGTGCGGCAGCCCTTGCTATGACCGAAAGATTCCCGGGTGCCGTCCTCATGATTGCGCACTCTAGCGTGCAACTGTTGTTGACAACTATTGGGATCTAGAGGCTACTAAGAACACCATTAATTCACACTTAACAGTCCCCACGGGGTCACCTCCAAGGGTCCTTGGGTGCCTGGCAAGGCCAGCCCCTATCCAAGGGTCCGTGTTATGTCGAGGGACACGTCAAGTATGAAAACAACCGTGTGCAACAGAGCATTCCCAAAACTCCATGCGCAGCGTTATGATGACGAACTGGTCGTGCGCAGAAAGTTCTCTTCACGTCAGTACGATGATAGAGAAAAATTCCACTCAAAGGATTGATTACAACTTCGCACAAGCAAACAATATATATCAAAGCCTACGCACATGCAAAGGAAACAGAAAGCAGTTGTTTAACTAGACTTCAGGACTTCGCCAGATGCGCCAAGGAAAACGTTTGTCGAACTGCTTCAGAATTTGGCTTGGTTCTCCCCTGTAGAATATCTGTCTTCAAATTTCATGTCTGCCAAATTCCCCTGCTAACTCCCTTCGTGAACGTTCGTGACTTCTCGTGCGCAATCATAAGCACTCGTGTGAGATTACCGTTTTCACGAAGTCTCACAGTTGAAAAACGGTTTTCACCGTTTTTCTCCTGTATCGAAGTTGTCCCTTTACGCGCGCGATCTTTCTAGCGAAGTTACCTGTAAGCCGAGTCAACGCGGGATACGGGTTTTCAACCGTAATCCCGAGCACCCTCACGACTGCAATAATGCACGACTGATATTTCGGTCGTGCTGTACAGTGCAATGTACTGCGCGTGGGCAGGGCGATCATTCGCCCTGTCTTGTTGCGATCGTGGGTCCTGCCACGCTTGCAACAGTGCGAATGCACACGCGCGGGCCTGAGGGCCCACACACACGATCTGGACCCCACGCGCGGGTCCTACCTACAGTTGACGTTGACTGACGCGAAAAATCTGTCAGTCAACTTCGTGAACGCTCACAACTCTTCAGGAGCACACACGAAAAACAAGAAAACACAAACAAACATGAACGCACATAAATATTCATGAACAATGCACGAACCTCACGGAAATTCACGAACACAGAAATTCACGCAAATTCACGACAGTTTCCGAAACAGCACAAATGCACGCGAAGTTTCCCATTCACATACGAACTTTCACAAACACTCATGAACACAACCTTTCACGAAAACACACACAACTCATGAACCGTTGAGGCGATTCATGAGCCGTAAACACACAAACATAGCTCACGAAAAAAGTGCAACTTGCACACAACAAATTACCTTCTGAGCAAACGCCTCACTTTCACTCAACGTCGACAAATAGGTAGTAGGTTGTCGTGCAAACCATGTATTGCACTCAACAACTGTAGCCCCTACGTCACGCTCCTGTGCGGCAGCTCTTGCTATGACCGAAAGATTCCCGGGTGACGTCCTCATGATTGCGCACTCTAGCGTGCAACTGTAGCCCCTACGTCACGCTCCCGTGCGGCAGCCCTTGCTATGACCGAAAGATTCCCGGATGCCGTCCTCATGATTGCGCACTCTAGCGTGCAACTGTAGCCCCTACGCCACGCTCCCTGCGGCAGCCCTTGCTATGACCGAAAGATTCCCGGATGCCGTCCTCATGATTGCTCACTCTAGCGTGCAACTGTAGCCCCTACGTCACGCTCCCGTGCGGCAGCCCTTGCTATGACCGAAAGATTCCCGGGTGCCGTCCTCATGATTGCTCACTCTAGCGTGCAACTGTAGCCCCTACGTCACGCTCCCGTGCGGCAGCCCTTGCTATGAACGAAAGATTCCCGGGTGCCGTCCTCATCATTGCCCATCACAAAGGTCCACTAGGGTTTGGCATTTCGATCGGGACAAGATTTGGAACAGGCTTGCCTATGCTCAAATATACTGTTAGATGTAGTTTGGCATGTCCGTACTTCAGTCTCTTCAAAAGCATGTTGCTAACCATGATGCGTAAATTGTAGTACCTACCTTCTTAATGCTTGACGGATGTTGGAGCTTGGCTACTTAGACAACATGTACTATGATCACGATCGAGGTGGTTGCAGTTTATTAGAGAAAATGTTGTGTTTAGTATATTAATTAGGTTTGCAAGATAGGGAGAGGATTTTGGAATAGTTGGGTTTGCAAAATTAGTTGCATTATTACAAGGCAAAAACAAGCCAACGAGGGTGTGCAACAATTTTCTCAATACTATTGCTCTAAAAGGACAACTTAACCAATATATATATATGTTACTGATGACACAATACAATGTAAAGGAATAGTGGACAATGATTGGATGTGGCAAATTAGAAGCGTGTCAATGATATATTTTTTACGTTTGGTTATTTTGTTAGCCTTTAGTAAGGTGCATGTTAGGAGGTACACATTTTCTCTCGACTCTATGCTTGTATCCCTTTTTTTTTTACCTAATCTCATCAATTCTCCTTAGTCTCTCAACATCGTAATAAGAGCTTAGGGAACGGTATGCACATAATTATATATTTGTAGACAGTAGGGGAGAGAGAGACGAAGAAGAAATGATCAAGGAGTGATAAAAAAATGTAGGGAATAGAAGAGAGTGGTAAGAAGAGAAGAGAATGATAGAAGAATGGAAAGGAAAGAGGAAGTTCGGTAGAGGTGAGGAGAGAGGAGAAATATCAAGGAGAAGGAAGCACCAAGGGACCAAACACGGCAGCAACTCACAAAAAAACGCAGGTATAACGTTTCAAGCACAGCCCCTGTCATGTAGTGCGAGTTTCCCTGCCCCACACCTAGTGGGACAGGTGCGGGTATCCACCCGTCGCCGCATCCTCCCAACTGCCGCACCGCATGCTGCATGATGCATCGAGTCTGAGTGCACTACAGTGCTGCAGAGAGACATGTAGTGAGTCCTGTCTCAAATATCCACGCCGATCCGTCATCTCCCCCTCCCAAATCCCTCCTCCATTATGCTATTCCCTTCACACAGAGCCCTAGAAACTGACGCAACGGCTCGCTCAGTAGTCCAAAGGTCTCAGCCATGCACGCGTAAAACTGTGGTGCCAGCTGCAACCCCTCTAAGTGCGGCCCCCAGTGACGAGCTTCTCCTGCATCGCTTAGATGCTACCACTCCAATCTGTATGAGGGTCGGCCGTAAGAGTTGCACGTTCCCCTCCCGCTGTGGATCCGCTATAGAGATATCCACAGGAACCTTTGTAAGCTGCCCAACGTTGCGGCATGTATGCAAGATAAGAGACGAAATTTTGGAATAGTCGGGGTTGTGAAGCAGGTGCGTTATTAGAAGGCAAAAACAATCCCATGAGCGTGTGCACCTATTTATATATAACTGAAGACACAACGAACTGTGAAGAAATAGTGGACAATGATTTTAAGTGGCAAGATTGAATCGTGTCAACGTTATATCCTTAACTGTTGGTTGATTTATTAGCCTTTTGTAAGGTGCATGTTAGGGGGTACACATTTTTTCTTCACTCTATGCTTGTACCCCTCCCTTTTAACCTAATCTCATCAATTCTACTTAGTCTTTCAACACGGCAATAAGAGCTTAGGGAACAGTATGTACATGAATATATACTGGTAGGGGATAGGAGAGAGAAAGATGAAGAAGAAAGGATCAAAGAGTGACAAGAAATAGTAGGGAATAAAAGAGCGATTTCGACAGGTTTTTGAGTGTTGGGATAATCGAAAGGTCATCGTAACATTCCCGAAGGTTTCCCACTGACGCGTCACTCCATACCGGAACAACGCGCAGTAGCAGTACCGCAGTAGCTCATATAGAGCATGCGGAAGATCAAAAGTCACCCGAAGGTCAACAGTCGAAGGCAGTCAACAGTCGTGACTCTTGACCATCCAGTAACGCACTCGGTAGTTATGCGATGCAACATGGTAACTGTCGAGAATAGCAAAAGTCGTGATTACTGTAGCTATGCATTGCAGTTAATAAGGGAATATACACCTCAGAGTACATGGCTAGTTAGTTGCTATTTAAACCCCTGTACTTCAATCTTATAATCATCTTGTTTTCTTTCAACTTTTATTAACAAGGTCACAACTAAGACTTCATTGTCTTCTCCTAGACTTGCAGACTTATCCTATCCAGTTCGATCCTTTGGTTATATCAGCATGGTATCAGAGGTAGAGTGGATTATAAGGCCTGTCAAGTTTCTGTTCTTCTCAGAACAAACTCTTTATAAAA